GCATTTCATTTAGGAACATATCCTCGACTAGACTAACACCACTCTTACTTATCTGCACTTTTGTCACGCTTCTAATTTCAGGTGAACCTGACGGACGCGGTTTCCGTGGTTTCTGAAAAAAACATATCCTACTACCGACTAACACCACTCTTACTTATCTGCACTTTTGTCACGCTTCTAATTTCAGGTGAACCTGACGGACGCGGTTTCCGTGGTGTGTATTCTGAAAAATGGATGCCGTTTATAGTGAAAGGTGATGGTGGTGTGAGTAATTTATGGGGATTTGGTTTTTTCCACCGTATCCAGTCATTAACATAGCAGCCAATAAAAACCGAGGATAGTGGACTGATATTGAGTTAGAAAACTCTGAACTGGCCGTTGGTCTGTTCGCTGAGCTGAGCAATTTGACTGCAATGAAATTTATGAAATGTGTCTGGGAGTCGTGACACGCAAAAGACAGATTTGAGATTATAACTTTTCTTATCACTATCAACTTAGTATGGGATATCAGGAAAGCAATAAAACACCAGTAGAAGAAACTACGTTAAGTTCGACTGGCTTGTTTTGCATGTTCTAGCAACTTGTTTCCGTATATTGTTTTTCAGTTTTTCCTCAGGACAAATCAAACTCGTCGAGACAGCAGAACATCCCAAAGAGTTTCATGTCCAACTTCTAGACGATGGAGTAATCTTGAAACATCACAAGCAACAAAAGGATCAAAACGGTTGGTAACTTTTTGGTGATTTACCCGGTGCACCTAAAGACACTGTTTGGATTTGTAGTGTGAATCGAGAAAACCCTCCTCACGCCAACTGATGATGAAGGCGGGCCACCCTTGAGTTCTTCATTACCTTAGTTTTCCAAATCAAACTTGCGGCCATCAGACGACTTGACCCCCTGTTCTGGTATCAGTTGATTAGAACCAAGAAAATCACAGTTCCAACAAGGAGAACATGCGAATCTTACCAAGCGGAAATGAAATACAAGAGAGGAAATTTCTGGGACTATGGTTCTCCACTATAATTCTGTTAACCGGTAAGGTGAACTGGGTCCAATCTACTAGGCTGTATGTACAAAGGAGCAGCGGCTCAACCGTAATAATCAAATAGAGCCAACCGTCGGACCGAGATACAGGAAACCTTCAGAAGGGACATTGGAGAAGATTATGGCGTCTACTTCTGATGGTTCAAGGCAAGAGCTTCCTTCAGCAACGGTCAACGGGTATGACCAGAAGAGGTCGAGCTCAAAGGTCATATGGGCATCGACTAATCACCAGCTAAAGAACCAGTTAATAGAACGGCCAGTAGCCTGTATATTAGCACATGCACAGAACCAACAACACATTGCTACGCTCCGATTCCGAGGGCACAATGGTGATGCGCCTCGATTGGTGATGAAGCGTTTGCAACCAACTTGTCTAACTCAGTGAACAACGACCATCTATGATAACAGAGCGACTAGCATTCACATCAATGACAGCCATGCCTTTTATTAGTGCCTCAAGCCCTCTGTTTATTTAGCTAAATGCCCCAGTCGATCTGTTTGGCACATCGACGTCAGCGCAACGTTCGCTGTTGGGCACGATGAGCGGTAAAACACGGCAACTTTTAGTACCAAGAGAATCGTTACCATGCCGTTCTCAACTGTACTATCTTCGCTGGATTTCGTGATGATATTTGGAGGTCTAGGGTGAATGTGATACTGCGACATAGTTTGCAAACGTATGCTCTCATGTGGATGCCGTTAAGCTTAGATGGCTCAACACAGTTCGTAATTCATCATATGGACTTCCAAAGTGGGTGTAGCTATACATCTATTAGAACTGCTCAATAAATTTCCAAGTCACATTCGTCATATTAGGTTGATAGGACGAGTACATCACATGGGCTGCCATTTGACTTGCCGTGTCTACCTCACACTCGGACCATAGGCTCATCCGGGGTTCAGTCATCAACTGTGCGGCAGGTGCTTTGATGTTTCAGCTGCCTAGGTCGCATTGTGGATCAGCTGACACGGACACTATTGCCGAAACTCACTAAGACCGGCTGTCTTGCCCTCAATCGACCCTTCGAAGGGCGCATGCAGATGCAAGCCATCTAGTCGGGCCTTAGTGACTAGGCTGATTTTTACAACACAGGCTTGACGGATGAGACGGACAGTAGTGATGATTCATCCTGTCTCCCGACTCTTCATCCTCGGTTGTAGGGAGGCCCTCACCCCCAAATCGCTCGCGCCACCGATGCCACCTCACACTCAGAGCTCCAGGCCACTAAGTTGAGTTCAGACCTGCATTCTGGGTCTTTGCATTGATGTACTAACCAGCCGGTGTCTTGCAGAAGTGTCGTGTTTTTTTTACCGAAACCCAATGTTCACTGGACGGGCCGTGGTGTGGAATGATGTAGACACAGGTATTTCGACAAGCCAAATCAAATTTGTCTCAGTAATGAAGACAATGGTGCGTTACTGCTTTGTTCGAAAGTGCGAGTCTCACTCCGTTGAAATCCCTGTTTTTGTAATGCACTGGAAAGCGCGAAAATTGTTTGCACCTTACAGGGAGAATCGCGGCGAAGTACCAGGGGATTAAATCTCATAGGCTTCTCCGATTAACACTATCTCCTGAATTTCTAAAATGGACCGGGATCAAAATATAACCGGTTTTAATTGCAAATTAGGATCGCATATGTGGTTTAGCATCACAGTGCGCACAATTTTCCGGTCTCAATTTGCCAGAAGAGTTGGTTTCTACGCTCGTTCAGTGGGTGCGCGCGAAATTATCAGCACAGTTCATGACAGGGAACTACGTTAAACAACTCACCAAACCCGACGCGTTGTTGTTTAGTAGGATTAAATAAACACTAAACTTTCTGGATGGTTGATTACAGTATCTACACGATCAAATCCTGCTTTCGGGTGACAACAGGTGACGTGCAAAGCGGGTCAACCTTTCTCACAGAATCAGCAGTGCTACTCTGTTCTCTGATTCTTTATGATGAACAACCTATAGCGAGCCTCACTGGAAAAACCAATGTGCGAACGACCTTTGTTCTAGCTTAGGTGATTCATTTTTGTTTATCCATCCCATCCGACCATGAGCATGGCACAAGTGGTTATCGCACACTCAGAGAATCAAGTGAAGAATGCAGCTAGGTGAATTCGGACTGCTTTCTACCGTTCGTCTACGACATGTATGAGAAGCGAGAGGGATTAGATTGGGACGTCTATTTGAAACAGTGAAGAGATTGCGGACTCCATGAATCAACACAACTCTGGATAGACTAACTGAGCTTGTATGTGAGTTGGCGCAAAATGATTGGTCATGTGTACCTATGCATGGTGCGTCCAGGCTTAGTCACCAGTCCCAGCTCCAACTACGCTGCAGACATCAACATGATGCTGCCGGCGGAATTAGTGTCGTCATCAGAATACCCTGTCCAAGACCTTATTTCGTAGTATCTACGACTGGTAAGACTCAAGCAAAATTTCCAACTGCTGCAAATGGAGTAGGGCCCGATGGATACTATTGTAGGAGACAAAATAGGCTGTAGCATGTCAACGTTCCTAATACGATACTTGCAAAGTGCAGTGAAAGTGGATGCTATGTAGTCGACAAAACAATAATGAGCTCGACACAGGCATACGATCCATTTTAGGGTATCAAATACCAACACTGACAGTCAGCAGTTGGCTGCAAATGTACTGACAGGCATTTTATACGTTTGCCGATTCCGCTCTTATAAATACCAAATCTGTGGTCAAAAAGGTTAGAGGGCGAGCCGCGAGTGTTCGCAAGCTTGACTCCACACCAAGAGTTGATCATTTCAGAAGACTGTGTTCGTAACAACAGAGGATTCTGGTGGTGATACCAGTTCTACCGTAAGTGTTGTGCTACTGTCTGCATCCTAGTTGGAGCTGAGCCTGGAGACCAAACCTATGGCTCGTAAGCTTTTAAAAGTGAGTGTTTTCACCACCGCGGTTGTCTTGCATCATTCCGGCATATCTTTCAAAGTGATCAGATCCTATTGCTGATGGCCGGTGACTTTGACCCCAAAAGCTTTCCCACTTCGATGAATTTTGTGAATATTGCTTAGTGTTTTAGTTCTTCAGCCAGTTTCGGTCTATTTTCGAGTGAATTAAGTGGTTTTTGCTCCGTCATACCTTCTTTTTTAAAAGCATCTGCATTCCACAAAGCTATGTTAAAAATATGGATTAAAAACATTGGTTGATTTTCCTCTTCACCCACAATCCTGGAGGTACTATGCGCGCGATAGACATTGCTTACCACCCTAATGAACACTCGTGTCTAGGAATTTCGTAACGGCTCATTACTTACTGACTGGACGGTCAGTAGTTCAAACCCGACCCTGGTATCTCGACGGCTCCTGCCTTTACTTTGGTAACTGGGCGGCATCTCTGTTCTCGTGGTTCCTTCTGGTGGTATTTTAGATAGGCACCGAAAGGATGCTGTGGCTTAGTCATCACCTTTATTTTTCCCTTAATTATGTGCTACATGACTCAGAAGAGTTTGTTATAGCAGTCTCTTAACAAATCGACTTCCAGCTCTCATCGCCATTCTTCTGCTATGGCCGTAATTAACTCCCTAGCTCAGTTGTTTTGCTGTGGCCTTTGAAGTGCATCAGGACGTAATAATTAAGTCAGGGCCGGTGTACGCCTTTCAGATGAAAAGATATAAAAGCTTGATATGATCAAAACTGTGCAGAAGAGGGACCGACCTGACCGAGAGCTGTGTATGGACAGTTACAGGTTGGTGCGACATTTGTGTGAGCAAAACAGCACGACGGTCAATAGTGCGTATTACATGAGGTCATCTGCTGACGCCTGGTGTGGCACAGCTGAGAGATATAGAAACATACAAACTGTTCAACCTACAGTGGGCTGAGACGGTTGATACAAAGTGTTGTTGACAACCCAGTGAATAATGTATTTTGGTTTCCCCAAACTTATTTATTCCAGACAGAATCCTCCCGAATGCCCTGTGGCTTTGAACTCCCCGCTCCCATTCAACATCGCTCGGCTAAGGACAGCTACAGTTCTTCAACGTCAAAAGAACCAGGGTCGGCATGAGATGCACTCAATCACGCTTGTGAACCGTAGTCTGTCAAGTGCACCCAGACGAAAGAGTTTAAGGCCACATAAAACCCACGAGCAGAGAGTGTCTACGGTGGAGTTAACTGATGCAAATGCAGACCGGAGTATAGAGGTAAAAATGATTGTGTCCACTAGTCAACTGATCGACTGGTATTTTGCTTTGTATCCTACATCTCCATCCTCCTATCACTAATACTTCATGAAACAATTTTAAGCATTAGTGATCAAGAGTGCAAAGTATGATTTGTTACGTAAACCATACTGAGTTATATTTTTTGCACCAAAGTGTAATACACGAGTCACAAACAAATGTGGACATTGTACATAAAATTCTGCAATATGGCTTGTTGAAAAAATCAGCTGGGGTGTCTTTTTGTCCATGGGTGGTGAGGCTTCAGGGGAAATTAAGTCCCCATGTTTGAAGGCACTGTTGGTTCAACTCACTAGATAACCACTTTTGCTATTTTCGAAAAGATTCCTTTGCTATCAGCGTCACCTGAGTGTGGAGTGTCAGAGATTTTGGTGACATGCCATAAGTACAGTTTCTTTCACTGTCTGCGTAATATGGTCGAATGACTCTTGACCCCATGTGGCGAACCGCCTACCAAGCGTTACACTTTATCCCTAATCCAGGGTTGCGCTTCGTGCAAAACAATGCACTATGACGCTTCGTACTCACCCTCCCTCGACGAATACAGGATGATTTGTCGAATGGCTCATATAACAGGTACCGTTGGTTGTGTGGCCAAATAGCAAAACTTTTGATAATTATGGAGGAAACCATGGCTTTCGAGTTTGGACTCATACAAGTCAAACCAGGCATCTGGATCCGAATCCACAGATCCAGATACATCGAGAGGTAGTGTTCATTTAACCGACGATACAGTATGTACTGTTGGTGCCTGTGTGGTCCGAGCGGTGCCAGTCCAAAACCTCTAACCAACAAGTAGTGTTTCACCATTCTGCGCCAAAGTGCTGAGTCCCAACAGGAACCAAAGGCTGCGCGTGGCTCAGCCTTCCGGTCTCAGACCAGACCTTTAATACGAGTATTACACCCTGTGTTTCTAAACAGGTGTGTACTATTCAGTAATCCCAGGATCACAGCATCACTTTCTATTGTAGTTCACAGTAAGTCAGAAGAACGCGTAAGTACGGACACGGGTGTATTGGGTACACGCGGCCAACTGGTCCGCTTTCGTGGCAGGCAAGCAAAACAGCTGAGTCACATATCCAGTCAACCCACAGCGCTCACGCGAGCCAACCAATCGGACACACATCCAATCAGCCACTCAAGTCACATGCCAGATCGATGGTGGAACGACGAACGGACACGCACACGCGCAAACTCTCTGACACACCGAAGCAGCTACTACACTTTCCCTCTATCTTGAACAGAAATTCCCTAATTCATCTTCGTTGTTTGGGCTACTTCTGGGCTTAGATACAAGCCTCATCATTGCTCCCCATAAACTTGTAGACTAGTCTAATATTTCGATGAAATCTGGGTTATGCCAGTAATGAACATACCAGTATGAATATGCCGGTAAGTGGATGGTTCTGCGATCAACGTGGGAGAAGATGATTTCAACGGTTGTCGTATTTACTGATTTAATACACCTATCCGCAAATACAGGGGCAAAGCGCACCCCAAAGTATTATCCCTCAAAAGTGGACACCTGCAATGAGTGATACTGCATATGCACAACCCAAGGAAATTTCATAAAAATAGCTACTAATAAAATGAAACAAAGATAAATTAAATCCCAAACAGGTGCCCTCCAGCTCGCAAAAGCTCGTTACCCATGGTTCTTGTCCCCGTTAGGGAGGAAGCATTTTGAAAGCTACCCCAATAAGTGATGCAGCGTACTCCCTATATCTCACCCTACCTTGAATCCTTATGGCCCTGGAATGGTGAATAACTAGAGGAAATCCAGATATACACCGTTTCTTCCGGTGGGTACTCCCACAAATGCTGTCTGCTGGGCTGGAATTTACCGTCTTCAGCCATCAATGAGCAAGAATGCTTAAATTATGGAGAGTTTTCAGAAACAGCTAAGATGGGACAAACTTTAGCAAATACTGACTTAACAACCAACGACGTTTCCGAGCTTAAGTTGCATAATCCCGGTTTTCGAAATGATGATACCATCTGTATTCGACGCAATACCCAAAATACTAAAGGAGATTGGACTCAGAGAGCCGCTCAAATGAGACTCTGAAAATCGAAAAATTGAGCGACCTCGAACAAAGGAAACCGATATGGGGTTTATCCGTAAACAGCCTACAAAGCAGACGGTTTAAGTTAAAGGCTGTTCATGGTGCATAGGATACTTCACTGATAGTTTACAAGTTTTGACAACAAAAATCACCATGCTATTCCATAAATCACTGTTGTATCCTTGTATCCTGCCTGCGTTGATTAGCTGTGGAAAGTGAACGGAAGCTCCAACGATGTGAAGCTTGATACCGCGCAGTGGTTTAATGTTGGTAAGGAGCATCTGAACACTACGTTTCTCGTGAACCATTTGGTGAAACGCGTGCAAGTCCCGTATCAAGTAATTGCCAAAAACCGCCGTATGCGGTATCATACTTATTCATGGGCTAGTATTTCCTGGCCATTGGCAAGGAGCCGTCCGCTCTCTCCTCGTCACCTTCTACGGTATGTCATTGAGTCCTACAGGGCCTGTATTCTGAGCTCAGTGGAGACATGGCAAGGTGCAGACGAGAAAGCATATTCAGTTATTGGAGCGACTGCTCAGGGTGACTCGTCTAGCACCACAAACCGTCGGCTGACACTCTACAGCACTGAATGTGTTTCGCTACCTGAAGGCTGTTTCGAGATTTGGAGGAGCGTAGAACGGACACGAGCTCCTGCGAGTCCGGAAAATCGGCAGCAAGCTTTACTTTGCCTGAGGCGATCTTTTTCAATGGTTCCAGCTATCGATTCCTGGACAAATGTGGGGTATGTCATGATTAACCACTGTGATTATCCATTCATTCATTGTTGCGAATTGCCTGGTATTATTAGTCTAATGAATTAGATTTCCCTGCAGTAGATGTTCTTAAAGAGACGCATCGGAGAAGTAAAACTCTAGGACAACCGTAGCTCTATTAGATTTATTCACTCGACATTTGGTTAGAAAGTCCATTTGTAACAGTGGAACACTGGTGGAGAGCACTGATCATCCTCGGTCCGCCTGACCACAAAATTCTCAGTGGTAAACTGGAAGCATTTTGAAACAGGTCTCAAGTGCTCTAAAAATTTCGAGAAAGAATTTTGAGACCACTTGAAATGGTTCGGGAACAGCCAACTGGTTCTGGCTGAATTCGTTTTTACTACTAACAATTTTTCAGTAACACAAGGTCACTTTAATTTTTTTAGTTTTTCAAGTTTTTTTCGTTGGTGAGCTTATCTAGAGACCCCTTAAAGGCTGTTTAAGGGAGGTCCGTATTGAGCTTTGGCTGAGATTTCGGATGAATTTCACAGGCCATTTTAAACCATCATAGGGTGCCCATGATTATTTTACAAGGAATGACTTAACCTATCCATAGTACCTGCTGGTCTGATCGTTAATGGGAAAAAAGTTTAACTAGCTGTCTGAGGAGCCATATTGGAATTCTCAGTAAAGAAATTTACGGAGCAAGAATGAGCGAGAGCATGACTTCAAGTTCATTTTAAACCAGTAAATCTAGGTAAACAGCAGACTTGGACTCAAAACTAGAAATACAGTGCTGCAAGTCGACAAATTTTGGTCTTTACTCCACACTAATTCACACTGTTCCCCCAAAGTACTTATCGTTTGTCGTGCTTCATAAATTAGTAAATGTTTGTCTCAGCATTTACTTGTGTCAACTGCTGATCTCGCTCAACGATGTGTCAACTGACAGTTGATGCGGGGTGAAAGAAAGTGACTTTTCCATTCCAGGCAAATTTTTGTTCATCCTCAGTTTACCAACTATAAGATAGAACTGTTAAATACACTAAAATGCCTCAACGGATACATGCAACGAAAGAACTGAAACCTCTTGACGTGCGGACTGTCTCTGCTTCAGAGCACTTTTGAACACAGTCCAAATAACAAAATAGCAAGTTATGTATTAATCCTAAACATACCTTGTACTGTTGAGTCTTAAGATGACAGGGTGATGAACATATTGATTATTAAATGGGCCAAACTTCCCCAGGTCCTAGTTTTTTAAATGAGTAACCGATGAGTACGCTCATAACTCACACCGACAGCTACCCGCGGAGGTATGTGTCTCCAAATGTTTTTGCAGCTCAGCTGTTCAGGGCTGCACTAGCGTGATCTAGGCCCTTCTGAATGATTGGCTTGCTTTTCAGCATTGAGGTACTTCGGGCCCATCTGGTGAACCACACGAGGAGCAAAACTGGAAGTGGGAAGTCTGGATTTTTCATCGACGTCATGAGTCTGATATCTTGAATACCGTTCCTACTGACACAGGAGGCAGCGTTTGTGCTGCACATTCGGTTGAGCGAACCAGAGATACAGGTGAAATTCAGAAGGGTTTGTCGTTAGCACAAAGTTAATTTGTGAGTGAGTGAGTAGCAAAAATAGGGGATTGTTCTGTCCTATTCATTCATTTGTAACAGGCCTCCATATTGAATCAAATTCGTAAGGAATAGGGTTGTCAGATGTGCTTGCATTGTCCTAATGTTATTGGTAGCTTCCTAATCTACATGAATCAATTACTTAACTAGTCACTCCTTCTGATTTCACACACTGCCTGTGTTCCTTTCGTCCCTCCGATACAGAAAACACTCAATAGAGGGTTGACCGGTAGAAAGGGTGGTTTGGTATCCGTTTCCAGACTGGTCTGTCAAATCGAACCAAATTGATGGATAGCGCCGGGAAATGGATAATGTCACATAAGGTTTGCGCTGAGCAGTGGGTGAATCTAACTAAACACTCCGTACATAATGTAAACTCGGGGGACTAGGACTGAAGTGTGAACGGCAGGACATAGTTTTAAGGCTATAGATATGCCCATCTTGTGGCCTCTAATTGTGGGTCTGTTGATAGGTACAAATTGACAGCTAAGCCCCACACTGCATGCAAAGAGGAAAATGATGACCAAAATCACTTAGGAGACGCATCGTAGATAGCCCCTTATGGCCAGCTAGTCCTAACCACCGCTCAGCTAGGTCTGAGTAAGGATAATCATGAAAACTTATCTCTGACACAGTGGTAGGCTTACGAATATGCAAATTCCAGGGTGAGTGTTTTCTGCAGGTAGGTACACGAAATACATATACATAGGATGAAAGAGAATACAGTACTTTACAACTCGAAACAATACGGTGCAGTATAATACGAAGTGGGGGCGAGATGGCCGAAGTGGTTAGAGCGCGGATTACTAACCTGAAGGTCCGCGGTTCGAATCCGACCTCCGCCACTCGACTTCCCCTGTCTAGGCTTGGGCTACCTGGCAGTATCCCAGCCCTCGTGCTTCCTTCGGGTGGCATGGCAGCTAGGCACCGGAAGGGTGCTACAGCTGAACGCTTTATCTTTATACGCTTTAATACGAAGTATACAAGGCGGACGTAGGACAGTGAAAAGTAGTCCATTCTGGCAACCAAACATAGCCCCTCCGTGAGAAGTTACTCATGGCCCACGTAGCAGGGCCATTGACACAGCCAAACGGTTGACAATCAGCACGCGTAAAGGGGTATCTGGTTGTCCTGACCAAATATGAGACGCACCCTGGGCACACGCATATGGTCAGGTTATATTCGACACTAGTCAGTTTGACCTATACAACGAGGGTCGCAGAAAGTCGCTTCTATCACCGCTGTAGTTTTACAGCGGGGTCTTTCTGATGCTGACAGGATCAGCCTAGCGAATGAGTCCAACGTTGTTCGGTTAGGATCTCACTAGGTTAGGGTCTCACTACTAGTAAGCCGGACCCAGAATGTGATGAGCTAGGCAATAGTGGTTTCCGTAGTGCTATCAATAAACTTGCCGAGGTTCCGCTTAATCACAGACTTACGGTAAAAAAATAGCGCAAAGCATAGATGGTAGAACTGTGCAACAGCACTGTGACTTTCGTAGGTTTCAAGATGGGCTACAATTAATTTTCAGTAATTGTAAGATCCGGGCAGCTAAGGGTCTCACAGGACGATTGCGGCAATCGGACGATACGTAGTTCGTATCCTGTAGGCAATTGGAACAGACGGACGACGACAGCAGACGATGTATTGAGAACTGTCAAGAACTGGTTCTATGGACAGAGGAGCTAATGAGCATCATGGATTAAACAAAACGTACAGTTAATTATGGTGCAATATGTAGGAGCAGAAGAATGGTCAGCGAGACAGCAGGGTTTCTGTAAGCAATAGCAAGTAAGTGCCAAATGATGCACAAACGTACAGCTAAGGCAGTCAGTGTAAATTGGCCACACAGAGTGATAACGGCGCAGAAAACAATCAGGACGTTCAGGAGGTAAGGAAGTGCCTTTGGTTGGCCATGCGATGCAGCAGCTCATGTCACGTGTTAGATCGGATTGCGGGCTTGGGTATGTTTAAAACAAATCTCAACAAAGGTTGTCTAGCAGATGTGTAATAAAACTAGTACAAGAATAAGGGTCATTAGGGACCCGAATTGATGTAGTGGTCAACACGCTCGCGTACCGTCGGAGGAGGTCGGAGGTCGATCGTCGAGCGGACACTTGAAAATAGGTAGAGCTGACACAAACTTGCGGGTGAAAACGGACAGGGCACCAACCGGCACTCACCTACAGTCCACAGGTGAAGTAGAACCCTAGGCGGTGAACGTGGAACCACCTACGGCCTCGGAGGTTTACGACTGCATATGTTCTCTCAAGCGCCACCGAGCTCCCGGTCCGGATGACCTTCCACCCGCACTGTTCAAAGACGGCGGTGAAGTCCTCAGTCA